GTACTGAGTTACATTCCCAGTCTTTATTTTTTATCTTGAGACATGGTCTCACTAAGTCGCTGTTTCCCAGGCTGTGCTTGAATTTGCAATCTTCTTGCCTCAGTCTCCCAGAGTACTGGGATTACTTTGTCCTCTCTGATGAGGTCTGGAGACTTTATCATGGGCTCTGTAGGGGTAGGAAGGTAGCTTACCTTTGTCATCCCGCATAAGGATCATCACAGCCCACATCCTGTAACAAAAGATGGGTGGCGAGAGAAATGCATGAAAAATTCACAGAACCAGTTTTACGGGACAAAAACTTTGGTTTATCAGAAATGAATACCCAAAGACCCAGGGAAAACTAGTCTTAGGCTTGGAGTTAATGAAGAATAAACAGTGTATAGAAATGTGATTGACAAGAGGACCTAATGGGGTTGGACAGGGGCAGGGAAGCCCAGAGAGGTTCTCTGCTCACATTCTTCTTGGCCTCTTGTACAGCATTCCTTCCTCCCAGTATGGTGCCAGGGCCCTTCTAGAATGAGGGCTATGTGATCTGCCATCAGACAAGGTAGCTCAGAGATGTTCCTTATGGCCAGCTCCTACACAGAGCTGGGAGAAGGTTAGAGTAATACTTCTAGGTTTCATGGCTGGCACTGAGAGAGAGAGGGATGCTAGTTTTTATGACTGCCACAGAGGAGAGAGGGCAGGAGACAGGCGGGCAGGAGAAAGCCGCAGAGATAGTCTTTGTTCCTTGCGCTGCTTCTGAGGCCTTCTAGTCTCCCTCAGTTGAAAGTATTCATCCTACAAAAGTGCCATATTTTAGAGGATTGTGTTCTGAGCCCCAACACTTCCTTCCTGAGCTCCTCTCTTTTTGATTCTGTGACTGTGTAAAGATAATACATTTTTCACTGGAATCATTCATTCATTCATTCATTCACGTGTTTTTTACACTGGTTTTATAGTTAGGGTTAGGCCCGCGTTAAACGCACAAGTTCAAAGCCACCAGAGGGCGCTCTAATTTTATTTATCAAGTAGACTCTTGCTTCGTCGTTCAGCCTGTGCCTATGTGTAACTGAAAGCATTCATTACCAACGCAGGGGAGTAAATGACTAGAGATGGAGAGACTGAGGCATAAAGAAATCAAGGCTGGATTAAAGTCAGAAGACACGTTTACCGCAAATGGAAGATTGCATGTGTGTTTCTCCCGCTGACCTCCAGAAGTCCTCCTTGGAGAGGGAACACCCCTGTGCTTGTGGTTTCCTCCAGGTGAGAGGCTGACTCGCCAGGTGTGGTGGCGGCACACCCTTGTAATTCCAGCTGCTTGGGAGGCTGAGGATCACAAGTTCAAAGCCAACCTGGGCAATTTGGCAAGGCCTTGTCTCAAGCAGGACTGGAAATGTAGTCACCAGCATGGAAGGGTGGGAGGAAGTTAGTAGATTAACCTGATCTGTTCTTGCAGCTCCCAGCCTAAGCTCCACATGCCCGAGCCTCCCAGAATACAGGCTGTGCCATCCAGGAGCCGTGAGCGTGGGCCAGTGGCCAGGAGGCTGGATCTGCCTGCCAAGTTTCCACTTTCCATTCGGTGACTTCTCCAAATCTCTGCGGAGGCTCTCCCCACTCCCACCCCTCGGCAGTGGAACGCCACCAATCCCAGCCTGCCTGTCGCTGCCCTGCAGAATGGAATTCAAAAGTTTGCAATACAAGTCTCAGCCTTTGTAGGATAACTGGGTTGCCCAGCCCAAAATAGCTGGGAAGGCGGGACGTGAGGGCCGCCATGGGAAAAAATCACGTTGCCTACCACTAATGACATGCTGTGCTTATCGGGAACCCAGTGTCTTACAGACTCTAACCGAGGTCACATAGCTTTTTCCAGCCATAAGAAAACAGACACAGCAAGCCAGGATGATATGCCTAGGGAGGGGGAAGAATTGCCAAACAGGAGAGGGCACACAGTGTTCTGCCTCTTGCACCAGGGGTTCCAGGGAATGTTTATCTGTGAGTCTGTGGGGCCTCATCCCAGGAACTGCCCTGGCTGGAGGAAATGGAGCCTCTAGGGAATATCCAGGAACTGGGGGTGGGGGTAGCACAGACTCCTTTGGTTAGTGTGAGCTCCTAGGAAGGGCTAGGATGGGCCTGGCTTGCAGTCCATTAGCAGGCCCAGAGAGAGACTTGTGTGTGGGGTGGGGGGGCTTTGTGATTCTGGTTGGCTTTGACTCCTAAGCTGTCATCCCAGGGCTCATGACATCTGCCCCAGGCCCTACTGCTGGTTGTGGTTTTGGTTTGTTACCCTGTTGTTTGCTGTGATTCTTTCCTGCCCTACCACTCCCAGGAATGGTGTTGGGTAAACCAAGAACATTCTGGCTGTGGCAGTTTGGGGTGCTTATGTCAGGGATGGAAGAAAATCAAGTCTGCAGGAGCATCCCTTGCTTGCCAAATTTTCCATCTTTCCTACTTACAGTGTTAAAGCAGAAATGAAGTTGATGACAAAGGGCATTAGGAACCTGGCAAGCTCTTTGGTTTGGTGACACATTTTATTTCTTTTATTGAACACAGGCTTGCATTCTTTGGGAGCTGGCCTTGTGACTATTTGCCCATTTGACCATTGGCTTGGATACGACTGTGATGACACTACCTAAGATAGTCAACCTTAATTCTGTTCCTTGGAATTTCCCATGCGTCTGAGTTGTCTGCCTCACACAAATGTCTTGGGAAGTCCTGGGCTTCCTTGGTCACATTTACTATCACACTGCCCCACTCCCATTTCTGCCTTAGGGAAAATGAATAATCCCTTTGCTAATCTCTTCAGAGACATGAGAGTTCAACTAAGAGGAGGGAAGGAAGAAAATTATATTTATGGCAGTTATCATGAACATTCTAGTACTTGGTGTCTGCTCCACATTTATTAATCATGAAAAAAGGTACTGGTTCACATCCTCTATCCCAAACTCCCCAAATACAAAAAGCTCTGAAAACTTAGTTTTTCCCTAAACTTCTTATGAACAAATTTGATAGAACTAGGTGCCGAATGGTTGTGAGATCATGAATAGCCTTCATTTATCCCACCACAAAATAAGTCAAGGGTCTTGAGCCTGCAGCCCACTGGCATAAGATGCTCCCTGTGACATTTGCGTCTTATACATCTGGCCTCATTGGTTTCAGATAAGAGACTGTGGACAGTAGATAAGGAAAATAAGGCCCCAAGTTTCAACACCATCTCCAGGATGGGTCAGGGTAAGACATCATCAAGCTGAGGCTCAAAGCCTCCTGTTAGAAGGAGACATCACTTGTATTTTAGAGCTTTGCACTGTGTGTGGCCTCTGAGTGTGTGTTTTGGGATTACAGGGAAGACAGTTGTCCCTCAGCTTTTCAATACCAAAGCCATCTTGGATGGCAAAGAGAAATAAATCTTCCACCTTGCATACCTTTCCTTCTTTTGAGCTGCATGTCCAGCTTTGTGAATTCTGGAGTTGGTCTGGCTCTTCACTAGGAAGAGGTTCCTGGGCAGGACCAGAAGGAACCCTCTCTTTGCACTTAGGGAATTCCTACCCACAAAAGTCCCCGATTCTCCAGCATCTGGCAGCGGTCTCATAGCTGTCGCCTGCTTGGCTCTTCTGCCTTGCTGGCTGCTCCCCCGGTATCCCTGCCACACAGGCTGTGTGGGGCAGCGTAGCTAGGGGAAGTCAGTCCATGTGCTGGGCAGGAAACTTCCTCATATTACAGGAATGAAGAAGAGTTTATCTCTGGGTTTTCCCGTGTCAAAAAGCAGCCAAGGATGTAAGCTTTGCCAATCCTCAGACACTATGCAAAAGAACGTGCGCATTCTCCTGGTCTGCTAGGGCTCGTGGAGGCCACGGCTGGAGTAGAGAAAAGGTTACTCGATCTCACCAAGCATCCGTAAGTGTCCTCTGAACACCAGAGGGATCAATGCATTTCTTCTTCTCTGGGATCTCTGGAGGGGCCACAAAGCATGCACAGTCTGCTGCTTCTTTCCAGAGTCCTCCCTGTCTCCTTCTAAATCTATCCATCCTCACCGCTGCCCGAATGGGATTCTGTGCCCAGCCTAGGGGTGAGACAATGTGCCTGGTGGGCATCATGCCTACACATTCTTCCTCCTCCCCTTTTCACTCTCTTAGCCTCTCCAGATGTTGGTGTGGCTGAGGAGGGGACATTCCAAGACAAGAATCACAAGCATACACTTTTTGTTTTGTCCTGAACATCCCAAATCAGCATCCTTGCTTTTATATCTCCTGTAAAGATGAGCGAGGGGAGAGGTCTTCAGGGGAACAATAACAAAACAAAATGTACAGATATGGCATCCAACCCAGGAGGAGAAGAGGGGGACTTGGGGCACAGGGGAGCCCAGGTTGGAACATTACTATGGTCAGAGCAGCTTGGTTCCTCTGGCCAGATCCTTTCTCCCCTGGTGATGTGATAAGAACTCAGAGCAAATCAGTCTGACTCAAAGTTTGGGGACACAGAACAGAGGGACCGTGCTGGAGAAGCCCGGGGCAGCACTTGGCCTAGGAAGCAGCTCAAGCGTTTGTTCATAAAGGATATTTGTGTAAGTTGGGAAAATGTTCATTTTCATATCAAGGAAGTGGGCAACCTGATGGGGGCCTCTCCCCTACTATGCTCAGGTGGGGGGATGGTGCTGCTAAATCTTCTGGGCAGGGAGGCCGCCCTCACCTCTACATCATGGAACTGTGCAGACTCTGGGGCTGTCATTTTCCCAAAGTGCACAAACATGCACACTGTCTAGCGTTCTGTTACGGAGTTCATGGATTCCTCCAAACCTGGCCCCTGGGCCCCAGGTGAAACCCCCACGGGACAAGGTGACTCAGGCCTGCCGCAGTGTGGACCTAGAGTTGTCTTCAGGCGATGCATGAAGCCCATCCCCCTGCCAGCAAGAAACGTGGAGCCTCAGCCTTCCTGGACGCCCCCGCCCTGTGTGGGTACCCTTGTCCTGGGCTCCCAGCCACCTCCCCATTTAGATGGGGCCTCTGGACACACAGAAGAGGCCACCCTCACCCCTAGCCTGTGCTGGCTCCGAAGCCTGGCCAGGAAGAAGGAGGCCTGGCCAGCCAGCCAGCCAGCCGGGCACACACACAGTTAATCCTCGGAGGCTGCTGTTTGGATAAAATGCGCTGGGAGCGTTCTAGGCTCCTCAGCAGCTCACATCTGGCTGGGGTTTGCTCTTTACGTGTTTGTCCCGCTTTTTTCCTCTCTTCCTTTACTTTTGAGAAACCACGTTTCCGCTCTGACCACAGAGACCTTGGAGCCAGCCGGGGAGATAAAGGTGCTGGGACAGGGCTGCTGCACTGGCACCCCCACCCCCGCCCTTTCGGAGCCTTCTTTCCGGGGGCTTTTTCCTTGCTCTCTCTCTTTGACAAGTCTGTCAAGGCTCCCCCACCCCTCCGACCTGGCGGGGAGGAGGCTCAGCCACTGGGAGATGGTGTAACAGGCTCCGGGAAAGCCTGGAGAGGCGGTGGAGGACGAGGCTGGTGCAGCTGGCTCGGCTCTGAAGGAGGTAGGTAGCCTGGCTGGCAGAACCGGGAGGGACCCAGCGCCGCTTGCTTCTCTCTCCATGGCCTCAGCCCGGTTGGCAGAGCAAACACCTTTCCCAGCATGGACAGTGAGAGGGTGAGAAGGGGTATTTGGCGGTTGTGGTAAAAGCATAGAGAGAGCAGAAGTTTTGGGGAGAGGCTTGTGTGTGCGTCTCGGCTAAGACTCTGTGCAGAGCCCAGGTTCTGCCGAGTCGTGAGCGGCGTCTGCCTCTGCCTGGGGAGGAGGTGGACTTTTGGCAGATGGATGTTGTCAGGACTCTCTCGCTTCTCCCCACTGTTTTGTGGGGTGTTTTACCTCGCTTCTCTGCTCTGGTGATTTTTTTGAGGCTGTGAGAAGTTCAAGAATAGTGCCGAGGTTCCCCTCTGCATCAGGTAGGGACCCCTCCTCAGTATCCCTTGGACTACCTGAGGAGCCCCAGATTTGCTTTGTGCCGCTTAGGGTCAGCGCAGGCTTCCATACAGTACAGGATGCGTGGACTATGGCCCCTTCCTCCGACAGCCTTGGTGTTCTTGGTGGGCATCCAGCTTGGGCAGGAAAAAACAATGTCCCTTCCCTGGGGACCCTCCCAGGAAGAGAAGCTAGGATAAGAGGGACCCTGGTCTGCAGCTGCAGTCACTGAGCTGCCACCCAGCTCTCCAGGGCACCTCCACGGATAAAGGGTGGTCCCTACCTTGGGATCCTGGGGCCTGCCCGGCTGCTCCCAGCCCCGAGAGCTGTGCTCTTCTATGGGTCCTCTGTGTGCTTTAGGCACTGTCACTGTCCTGGCCTGTCTTGGCTTGGAAGGGTGGGAGGGAGCTACCTTGCTGTGATTCCTTTCCGCCTCTTCTACCTCACCTAGTTTCTAGGAATGGAGGCCAAGGGCATGCTTTTCCAAACTTTGGAAACGAGCAATGTCTTGAGAAGCAACTTCCAGGATCCCCCAGGACTATGTGACGTCCTTAGAGACTGCTCAGCCCTGCTTTTTATAGTGCAGAAAGTACACACTCCTGGCAGGCTGTGCAGCCCATGTGTGAAGTCACAGATAGATGCAGTTGACGGTGGTGCCTGCTGCAGGGAGCGCAGGGCCTCCTCCAAGAGGGTCGCTGCTACAGCAGGAGGGAAAGCAGGATGTGGACACAGAGGGCGGAGAAAACTAAGGCGGCCCACAACCCCTCTCAGGCCTCCAGAGCCAAGAGATGACCCAGCATCAGCAGAAGAATAATGGAGGTCATGGATATGTTGATTGTCAACAGGCTTCAAAGGTCACAGGACAAATGTATGGAAGGAGCCCAGGCCTTAGTCCATGTCTTCAGCCCCTGAGACTACGCTTGAAACGCTCCGTCCACCTGGGGATACTGAGCATAGCACTTTAAGCTGAGGCTCAGTGTCCCCTACTCAGCTGCCATCAGAGAAAGCTACAGGGCAAGAAGGACCACAGGGCTACTTCCCAGGGACACTGAGCTTCTCCTCTCCTCTTACCATCTTGAGTTCCTGTAATGCCAAGGAAGTGTTCCCAGGGAGCAGTGGTTTGGGGAGACAGAAACAGGGCCCAGGAAGCCTTTAGTGGTCTCAGGACACCACAGCCCAGCCAGCCAGAGCTCCACCTGAGGAAGTCCCTGCCGTCCCCAGGAAGGCACAGACAGCTCCCTCCTCATTCCTGGGGCGTCACCTCCCTATTCAGGGCAACCAGCACAGCATTAATTTTTTCAGAGCATGCTCCTCTGTGTTGTTCTTCTTGGTGCCTCCCCTCAGCTATAATTAGCATGACTCATAAACCAAATATTCTGGCATTGAACTTCACCCATCAAAACAAAGATGAAAGAATTTCGTAGAAACTGTAGTGCCTGAGGGTGTCCTTAGTGGACACCAGCTTCTCATTTGCTTCTTATCCTCTGAGGTCGGGCCCTTTTGTGGGTCCCACTTCCTGTAGCTGGGGGTGGCTGAGGCTCCAGGGCTCAGAGGAGGGCAGGGGTGACAGCGAGACTGGAAGAGCAGGAAGGAGGAGATGTTCAGTTGCAGTCTTTGGCTGCTGATTGCCCAGGGCTGACTCTTCCTGGCAACCCACCCTCCCGGGAGATAGAGAAAGGTCTGTTCACTGGGGAAGCAGCTTTGGCTGCCTCGGCTGCCTTGAGAGGCCTGGAGACTCCTAAGTGGACGCAGCACCCCAGGGCTCTTCATCTGGGTGGCTTAGCTTCCTCACGGAAGTGAGCACTGTTATTGTTCCCTGTTTTACCCACCAATATCTCCTTTCTGCTAATGTCAAGGGATGCAAGGCAGCGTCAGGACAGGACCCTGCTACCTCAAGGACCCTCCTGCTATGTGAGCAGAGGTCCACCCACCTCTGGGAGTGGTCTGTGGGAGGGTCATCCAGCCCCACTCATGTTTCCTTCCACATTCTCTCAGGGAAGCGCAGTAGGCCAGCCTCACCAGTCCCATGTCTTGGGACCCTTCCCAGAATCCAGCTTGGTCCCTGACCAACTTGGTCCCTGAGTTAAACCACAGCGTGCAAATGTGCAGAATCAGGTTCTTTTCCTCCTCCCCAAGCTCCACAGTGAAGTGCTGTATTGCTGCAGACCCCATCCCTGGGGGAGTTCAGAGCTGAAAGCAAGGTTGAGGCCTCAGGGTCCTAGTCAAGGTGCAGGTTCATGACACAAGTGCCTGGTGACAGGGGTGGCTCTAGTTGCATCTGCACTCCCTCAGGCTGCTCCATCCTGCCTATGCCTGATTTCCAGAACTGGGTGTGGGCAGGGACACTAGAGATACCCTACGCTGCCCATTGTGGGGGTCCCCTTGCTTTTCCTCTGAGGCCTCTACAGGCCACCCTGAATAGGATGGCTGTTGAGAAGGCTTCACAGTACACAGCTCCCCATTTGTGTCTCAGCCATGGGCTGGGTGGACCCCAGTGTCTGACCATCTTCCTAGCTCCTATAGAAACAAAAGGGAGATGAGCAAGATGGTGGGCAAGGCAGCAGGAGCCAGGTGAGGGCAGGAAGGAAGCAGTCAGATGCGGTGGGGTGCGGGGAAGCCAAGCGCTCAGTGCCCAGGGCTGGGTCAGACGTGCTCCCGGATGCTGCTGGAGCCACACATCCTAGAACGCCCCACCACCCAGCAAGACATCTGGTTTCCAGCTGCCCTCCGTCCTGGGGACCAGGAAGGAAGAGGACCTTGCCTGGGGAAGCTGCCAGCCCTGAGTGGGTTTAGGCAGGTGCAGGCCAGAAGTCAGGCTGGGCCCGTGACCCTGTCATGCAAGTTTCAGGGCCTCAGAGCTGAGGGCCAGGGGTTGTGGGTTCTGGTGACAGGGTGGGAGGATCTGGATGGGTTTGAGGTGGTTATGGAGCTCCTCGATCTCCTGGCATTCAGCCCTGTCTTCCAAGGCTCCATGAAAATCTATCTGTATGGGTGAAACCCAGGGTCTATAAGCTTTCTGTGAGACTTGACTGATTGAAGGTTCTGGACGGAGGTGACTCAGGATAGGAGCTGCTGAGCCACGGCAGCAGCATGGGTGGGGGTTGGGTGAGGCTAGGGAGGAGGCTTGTCCCATGCCTCCCCTTTGTGCTCTGTCCTCTGCTCCTGCATGCTCCTGCCCAGCGGCTTCACTGGAGGTGCTCACCCATGACCGACCCCAGAAAGCCCTCTAAGGAACGAGCAGACACAGCATGCATGCTCCTGTCCTTCCAGCACTGATTCCTCACCCATTTCCTTCCTGCCAGTGGGACTCAGGCTCAGATCCCTTTGCAACCCACCACTCAGGTTGGGGACCTTGGGAGGCAGGAATGGGCTTACAGAGGTGCCTCCCCCTTATTCAGAGCCTGACAATGTGCTATTCTCTCTGCACCCTGCAAAAGGAAGACCCTAAAAATACACATCCAAGGAGCACAGTGCCCAATCTCCTCATGTTTGAAGGTAGGGAGGGGGTTGGCTGCCCTTGGGGAATCTGCTTAAATTCAAAGGAACTGAATTCCAGTGGCAGGTGTTATAATGAAGACAGTTAGTGTTCCCCAGGGTGCATACCATGTCTGGGGAACTCAATAATACTTTATGAGTGAAGGGGTGCAAGGGTTTGACTGGTGGATGTTTCTGTCCAAGCCAAAGGCGGCTGCTGCTGTTCCAGCTGTTAAGAGCAAGCTTCTCTGGTGCGTATCCCAAACCTAGGCTCTGGACACACACAGAAGTGGTCACTACTGAAGCGCAGGACTGCATTTTCCTATCCCATGTGTCCTGAGAATCCAGCCCTCTGTCCGTTCTGTAGAAAGGCATTCAATCAATACTGGTTGAACAAATGAATGGAAGAATGTGAGGCTTCAGCACCGGATCAGTTTCTACCCCACATGGCTCTTTGTGAGCCGTAAATGTGTCCCAGCATCACCAGCACTCCCTACTCCCTTGTCATCTGCTTTTCTGTGAACAGTCAGATTCCTTGGAATAAATAAAATGCTCCCTTAGTCCCCAGGGTGGAGCTTATTTGTTTTTTCTAAGTGGAAAATAATGTGCACTTTACTGTGGAAAAAAAAAAAAAGGGGGGATTGTTATAGGAGGAAAAGAAAAAAAAACCAGAGAAACCAAACTAAAATGTTAAAGAGCCATGTTTTTGTCACCCAAGGAGAAGTGTTGTTAGGTATGTGCCTTTCAGATGCTGAGGTTGCCTGTGTGCTGGCACATGTGCGTTATCTGCATGTGAGTATTTTCAGCCTGCATTTTCACTCATTTGTAGGAACATCTTTCCATGTCAATAAATAGTTACTCATTTATAGAGGTTGCTGATTGGTGCTTGCTGCTGCTGGCTGAATCTACCCTGCCCGCCTCATTCTTTCTTCTTCTTCTTCTTTTTTTTTTTTTTTTCCTTTTTCAGTACTGGGATTGAACCCAGGTCCTTCACTCTGAGCTACATCCCCAGCCTTTTATTCTTTTATTTTGAGACAGGGTCTTGCTAAGTCTCTAAATGGCCTAGGCTGGGCTTGAAATTGCAATGCTTCTGCCTCAGCT